TGTTGTCTGAGATTGAAATCCTCTCACATGATGACCTGGATTGTGAAGAAAAAAAAAATAGGCGGACTTAAGAACCCAGAGTTGCCCATTTAGAGGAAGGTGCTGTGGTGATAATCTGAGATGGTGATCGTGTGTGTGAGAGTGTAGGATCGACTAGCCAGTGGTGGTCTGTCTATTTATGGAGGTTAATTACTTAAATCAGAATATTGGCATTTGGGTGCGGCTTCTTACATGAGATCCAAGGCCGCCTTCTTGCCTCCTTCCCTCCTCCTCCTTACTCCTCCTTCCCCTTACTCCACGAATACCCCCCCCTTCACCTGACCACCACTACCTCGTCCCTCACCTCCTACCTCCCTCTCACCCTCCTAACCTCTCTCACCTCCTAACCTCTCTCTCACCCTCCTAACCTCTCTCTCACCCCACCACCTCCTCCCATACTTGCCATTGCACCACATTGACTTACCACCCCTACTCCTCCTCCTCTTCCCTCCAGCCCCCCGCTTTCGCCCTGACCTCGTTCATACCCCCGAGTCATTATTACCCTTAAGTAGGTCTAATTGGGCTAATTGTTACTGGTCATGACTAATTACAGAGATTACCTCCACGATGGGAGCGATACACAGGTGAGTAAAGCTTAAACAGGTGGTCTTAAAGTGGATCAGATACTTTGTCTAAAAAGAGTTGGATCTTCTTAAACAAAAAATAAGTATTATTCTTGAAATATTTGAACTTTTAAAAATAATTTGGTCTTAAAATTTGATGGTTTTTTTTAATAATTGGATTTTTTTAACTCGGGTGAACCTCGAACACCTGCTGATTAATCTGGCTAGTTAATTAATCATTGTTTATTGTTGTCTGTAATGGTGTTGTACTTTTTTCGTGGAAATTAGGTTAGGGTAGGTTAGGTTAGTTTAGGTTAGGTTAGGTTAGGTTAGGTTAGGTTAGGTTAGGTTAGGTTAACTTGGGTTACTGTAGGTTTGGTTACTGTTGGTTAGAGTAAGTTAGGTTTGGTTAGGTTAAGTTAGGGTAGCTTGGGTTAGTGTAGGTTTAGATAGGTTAGGTTTGGTTACTCTTGGTTAGGTTAAGTTAAGTTAAGTTTGGTTAGATTAGGTTAGATTTCTTTTGCATGGGAATTTGTTTTTTCAATGTACCGATATTTAGCTGAAATCTGAGGTCATTTAATTTAGAGAGGAAAGGAGATATAGTGGGTGGAGAGAAGAATAGAGAGAGGGAGAGAGAGATAGGTGAGAAACAAGATGGAAAAGTTTATAGAGGAGAAAATTGAAAGAAGAAAATTGAGAGAGAGAGAGAGAGGAAAACAAAAGAAAGTATAGAAGAAACAAGAAAGAAAAATATAGATACTTTCACTTCAAGTTTTGAGAGTTGAAACCCAAACTAATATTATATAGGGGGATCAAATTCCACCCCTCGTGACCACCTTTACAAATCATAAGCTATTGAAGACTACAGATTACCGACTTGTAAGAACACCTCCATTGCTTCCCGTTATTGTGAATCGTAGGTTACGTTTGATCTCTCTCTCTCTCTCTCTCTCTCTCTCTCTCTCTCTCTCTCTCTCTCTGTCTCTTCTATACGGTATACTGTTTGCAATGAGACTAAGATGGTGTAGGGAAGGAATCCAGAATTAATTTGAGAGGTTTATGAAATATTACCAGTTGGTCGATACAGTTCAACCCTGAGCATTATGTCTTGTTGTTGTCTACTTACTTGACCATTACTGTCTAATGACCTGACTTGACCATTACTGTCTAATGACCTGACGTGACCATTACTGTCTAATGACCTGACTTGACCATTACTGTCTAATGACCTGACTTGACCATTACTGTCTAATGACTTACGTCTAATGACCTGACTTGACCACTTACTGTCTAATGACCTGACGTGACCATTACTGTCTAATGACCTGACTTGACCATTACTGTCTAATGACCTGACTTGACCATTACTGTCTAATGACCTGAGTTGGCCATTACTGTCTAATGACCTGATGTGACCATTACTGTCTAATGACCTGACGTGACCATTACTGTCTGCTGACCTTACTTGCCTTGACCATTACTGTCTGCTGACTTGACCATTACTGTCTGCTGACCTGACTTGACCATTACTGTCTACTGACGTGACGACCTGACCATCACTGTCTACTGTTCTGCCTTGACCTGACTATTACTGTCTGCTGTTCTGACTTGACCATCATCACCAAGATGACCCTGGCTATTGGCTACAACAATTGGTAATGAATGTCGTTATCTGTGTGTCGGTGGTTTGTTTAACACCGTGAATAGTTCTTTGAAAAGGATTTACACACACACACACACACACACACACACACACACACACACACCTACCTTATCTGGTGAAGCCCTTCCCAAATCCAGTAACAATAACACACCAGGGGCGGACCCAGGAATATCAAGGGGGTGGCATTTGGAGGCCATGTACAGTCTTGTTCAAGATTCTTCGAACACTGCTGGAGACAGCTGGCAACTCAAGGCCGTTTGTTTACTATAGTACGTAGTATAATATAATACGAAACAAAAAAGCCCAACCATTAAATTAAGGAACGGGGAACTAAGTAACCAATCACCGATCACTTTTACATTTCTTCATAATTTTTACTACATACTATAGTAAACAAACGGCCTTGAGTTGCCAGCTGTCTCCAGCAGTGTTCGAAGAATCTTGAACGAGACTGTACATATTAGGAGATATTCTGAGGTCAATGGTAATTACTTTTTGCTATATAAAAACACCTGAGTACAATACTGCATTGAAGAAAAAGTATTGTAATTTTTTTATGAAAAGGGAAGGTCCGGACTCCCTGGATCCGCCCCTGCACACGCAAATGAATGTGTGTGTGTGTGTGTGTGTGTGTGTGTGTGTGTGTGTGTGTGTGTGTGTGTGCATTAAGTGAAACAGAAGACTGGAACAAGATATATATTTACAGAAACAATAAGCATTTCTCTATAAACATGGTCATTGTACAGTTGGTCGAAAATTTTATGTGCACTTGAAGTAGTTAACAATATAACTACTTACCTTGTTCTACTTATAACGCTATAGTATAGTAGGTGCACAAGGACTTTTCGACCATCTTGTATGTGAGGAAATAGGTGCACAAATAATCTTATGATAACACAGCAGCAGTAAATGACAGCCAATCATATCAGTGGTATAATTGACGTCACCAATGCACCAGCCTATCATTTCATTGACGTAATGAACGCCAACAATGCACCAACCAATTATTTCAGTGGAGTTAATATCATCAATGCACCAGCCAATCACATCAGTGAGGTAAATAACGTCATCAGTGCATCAACCATTCATTTTAGTGGAATCATTACGTCACCATTGCACAGACCAATCATATCAGAGGAGTAATTAACTTCACCATCTATTCACTTTAGTGGAATAATTGACGTTATCAGTGTTACAGCCAAGTATTTCAGTGGAGTAATTTCATCACCAGGAATAAATAACTTCACCATTAAACACGACAACTGTTAACGTCACGATTTCACCACAGTAACGTTCATTAAGTGTTGATATATAGTGTATGAAGTAACTTAAACACTACACCTGTAAAACGCTTTAATAACATCACTAAACACTGACAATGAAAGTAAACATTTGGATGAAACGTATAAACAAGACTTGACATGGGGTGAAAATGATAGAGAGTAATTATTAATACGTGAATAAAAGTGTAATTGAGAAACATGACAATGATAAGAGCAGAGACAAACAAAACAGTGATAGCAACATTGTACAGCAAAATTGCAGTGAAATGAATAATATCTTATGAACAAATTAATAGAGATTAGTGACATTGCATAAGTGAAATTAAAGTAACAGTTAAAGTGATAATTGACAGTCACACGATACAGCAGCAGTCACAGCAATATTATTACAGCAAACAGCAACAACTATAAAACTGGAAATAAATGTGATATAACCTTTTCCAGGATGATTCAGTGGGTAGTAATCCAGCGAGGAGGTGTGGGAACAGTAGCAGGTCTGGAGGTAGGAGGGGGAGGTGTGGGAACAGTAGCAGGTATGGAGGTAGGAGGAGGAGGTGTGGGAACAGTAGGAGGTATGGAGGTAGGAGAAGGAGGCGTGGGAACAGTAGCAGGTATGGAGGTAGGAGGAGGAGATGTGGGAACAGTAGCAGGTCTGGAGGTAGGAGGAGGTGTGGGAACAGTAGCAGGTATGGAGGTAGGAGGAGGAGATGTGGGAACAGTAGCAGGTCTGGAGGTAGGAGGAGGTGTGGGAACAGTAGCAGGTATGGAGGTAGGAGGTGTGGGAACAGTAGCAGGTATGGAGGTAGGAGGAGGTAGGTGTGGGAACAGTAGGAGGTAGGAGGAGGAGGTGTGGGAACAGTAGCAGGTATGGAGGCAGAAGGTGGTGTGGGAACGGTAACAGGTGTGGAAAAGCAGCAGTTGCAGGTATGGACGGAGGAGATGTAAGAACAGCAACAACAGGTGTGGTGGACGTAGGAGCAGCTGTTACAGGTGAGTAGGGAAAGGCTGGGTGTGGTACCGACCCCTTCACCTCCGCCCCGTGTACAAGACCTGCGCACCACCACCACCATCATTACTACCGCCACCACCACACACACACACACCCCACCACTACCACCACCACCACCACCACCACCACCACTACTACTACTACTACTACTACTACTACCTACTACTACTACTACTACCACCACCACCACCACCACCACTACTACCGACTGTACTAAAAAATATGAGGAATGATGATCTTGAAATTATTAGAGGGGTGAGAATATCATTTGTGGTATATGAAACATTTACAGGCACATATTCAGTATTCTCATCTTGCACATTTTAAAAACTTCCGCAAGTGAGATGTAACAAGATTTGAGGTAGAAACATCGGAACAACAAGAATCTCCGTTACGAGTCTCGCAGTAAGCTTATTGATAGGAAAAAAGAAAAAGAACCATAATATTGTGTAATTGTTTATTATTTTACAAGAAATATTTAGTATGGCATATTGCTTATCAGCAGCAATTCAAGAAATACACGTGAAGGACTTCGGCTGATGTCCTCAAGAAGTGCAAAACATATATTGTTATCATTACACACGAGAGCTTAAAGATATACACATGTTTCTTGAGTTATTTCTGTTATCCAGTTATGAAATTAAGTACACTGTGAATATGGCAAGTTGTTTAGGTATTATCCTGGAGCAAAGGCCGACTCCTGTAGTTAACAAGAGATGTGTGTATGTTTACCTTAAGATGTTTACCAGATTTAAAACAAGACCGCTGTGCAGTGTTGAGAATTTTGTTATATAAGGACAAAAATCGTAGTTAAACTGGTATGGACAATATTAAAAAAAAATCATCGAATTTGTAATACTAAAATCTGGCAAAGAATCGTTATTCTGATAAGCTTTTGGCTAAATATTACTGTAAATGACGGATTCCTCCTAATTTTAATGAGTATGTGTTATGTGAATAGTTTATCCTAAACCGTCAGTTTTAAAGCTTGTGACTCCTATGTAACAAGCCGTTTCGTTAAGCGCTGGACTATACGTCGACAAAATGTAATGTTAAATTGAAATTGTTAAAACTACTAAAAAAAAAAAATGAGCGTTAGGAATCATTGATAAAGAAGCCATTGGTCAAGATCGGACTTGTGGAGTACCAGTAAGGACAGCAGGTGGCAGTCACGCGGCCCCACACACAACACACAAGCTGGAGCGGCGCGAGAACACCTCACCATTTGACGAGCTGACGCAGTGCACTGTTGTTCCCTCAACCGTGGACAGTTCGATAGAGATTATGAATAGTTATTTTTAAACTCTTTTGTGGATAGCAATTATTTCGTTGGTCTACAGTAGATATAAGCTACATTGTTTTAGAATATTCGACCTGACCTGTGTGCATTATAGCGCTTTTGCTACGTGACATTTTTTACGTAGATGATGTGCTGTAGGCATTGTAGTGCAAAAAATTTCCCCAACAAGATTTGAAGCAGCCGCGTATTGAGGTCACAGCTGATATTCCATGTTTTTTTTCTTCATTTTCACGTAAAAGAAAGAGCTCGGAGGATCATGATACAGCTCACTGATCATCTCGTCAAATGGTTTCAGATCACTGGAAATATTTCCATACAGTACTGCAGTTACAATTGCAAAGTACAAACAACCTTATTATAAAGTCCTAATGTTGGAATTTATGTTTGTATAAAGTGTGGTCATTCTACACAAAATTTACCCTTACATACAAAAAAATTACTAATCCAAAGTAACTAATTTTTGGCTCATTTAGCTTGAGATGACAACCTCAAGTAACATGATAAATTAACTTTGGCTTCCTAGATGACAGTAATCACTCAGTTGTTGTTGACCCTCCACACCACCATCCATAACATGATCTAAACATTTAATATATTACATTTGATAAGTACAGTTAATTATAAGGACTACTACAGTATTTATAAATGATCATAAATAAAATAATGGTTGCTATGCATATAATAAACAATATATAACAAAACAATAAAATAACCAATTCAGACTATTTTTCTTTAATCAGTTATTTCAGGTTTAAATCCCAAAATATACAAGGCTAATATTTTTTCTTCATAATTTATCCTCCCCTCCCTACCAAATTAACATGTAATAAATGTATATATGTTTAATTATCTGTCTGATGCGATAAATTTATCCTTTGCTGCGTAGTCTTGACGGCTTCTTGATGGCGTTTTCGCTGCCTGGTGGGTTGAGGCGCATCTGGCGGGGGAGAGAGATGATGGGTGAGGCGAGGCGGCCCACCGTGTGTCACGGTCTGGCTGACTGGGACTTCTGACGGCTAACAACCAAGACATGCACCAGGTACATCAACATCAAACTAAGTTTCTCACGGGTAGTTACTGTGTGGTTCTAATATTATTTACTTAAGTAATGGTTAAAAACCACAGATGTTTATCATGTAATTCCACGGAGCTAATTGTTCTACTGCTTGACATATTACCAAGACTTGCTATTGCATGCATGTTGTCATCAGCACTTGAAATAATTTACTAAATCATATTTTAATTATGTATATCATTGCGATATTGAGGAATTTAGAAAATTTTGTTGAATAATGGTAATTAAAAGATTCCATAACATGCAAGCAGTTTACTACTACACTGCATTGTTGATGGTGGACCAGTGACAGTGTTGCATGGGGTCGTGTACCAAGCACATACATGCCATCTTGGGGACGACGCTGAGGCAGCTTATCATCACCCAGGTTTAACTACTGTGTACTTCAGCAACCCCCTCTTAGCATTACTTCATAATCTCATTAATGGCAAAAAATAAAATTATATATATATATATATATATATATATATATATATATATATATATATATATATATATATATATATATATATATATATATTAGTTATTGTCGATAAATCCCAAAGACGTTCTTGCCTGGATATTCAAAAACGCTGCCATAAACACAATTCTGGGTGAGAATCAGTCTAACCGACGTCATTTCCCAAGATGTCTGTATCCTAAACTATTTTTTTTACTACTTCCATATCCCGTACGTGATTAGTGCTTCCCGTACGTGACTAACACTTCTTGTACGTTAATTAAGAGCGTGAGTTAACCTGTGTCCGGTGGGTGGGGGGCCGGGAGTTAGTGTGCCTTACTCGCTGTTGTTGGTGTTAGGCATTTGTGTAGCCTCAGCTTCGGCCAGTTCTTCCTCCGCCTCCTTCATTCGCATCTGTAATATTAGTTCACTGCAGGTCATGGGGGTAGGGGGATGAAGGGGGTCCCTCTGGGTCAAGTAAAGGTCATGCAGACGTTCGGGGGACAGGTAGATTAAGGCTTAAGTCACCTGGTCACGTCTAATTAATAGTAGGAACCTTGAGTTAAGCTGCTAGGCAATAGGATATAAACGAAAAAGTAAGACTACATTTCTATTTATAATTACATGACTAACACATTATTGAAAAACTTTGAGGGCAAATTTACACAAGCTCAAAGAATTCAAAGCATAAATGCAAAGAATAGAATCACATGACTGACAAGCTTTTGGAAGATTATAAAGATATTCACGTAAATTTAGTGAACATAAATATTAAATAAGATCAATATTTATGGTTACGAGGTTACAAGAATTTCACAGAATTTAGTGTTATTGGTTTAAAAGTTACTGAAAGAATTAGATTTTTAAAAATAGATTAGGTACTGTTTAGGGTTAGTCATATAGTTCAGGAGATATATTAGAATTTTTCGTTCCTCGTCTGACTTAAGGAATGGATTTCTCGGGGGTGGGTGATCTGAGTGTGGGGGGCAGGATGTGTCAGTAAGGGATGGGTTTTGTCAGGATGTGTCAGTAAGGGATGGGTTTTGTCAGGATGTGTCAGCAAGGGATGGGTGGTATGTCAGGTGTGTCAGCAAGGATGGGTGGTATGTCAGGGTGTGTCAGCAAGGGATGGGTGGGGTATGTCAGGGTGTGTCAGCAAGGGATGGGTGGTATGTCAGGGTGTGTCAGCAAGGATGGGATGTATAGGGTGCGTCAGCAAGGGGATGGGGGGTGTCAGGTGTGTCAGCAAGGGATGGGGTATGTCAGGGTGTATGATGGTGTGTCAGCAAGGGATGGGGTACTGTATGTGTGTCAGCAAGGTGGGGGTACTCATGCAGCAAGGGATGGGGGTACTGTATCATGGTGTGTCAGGGATGGGGGTGTCAGCAAGGGATGGTGTGTCAGCAAGGGATGGGGTACTGTATGTCATGGTGTGTCAGCAAGGGATGGGGGGTACTGTATGTCAGGGTGTGTCAGCAAGGGATGGGGGTACTGTATGTCATGGTGTGTCAGCAAGGGATGGGGTACTGTATGTCAGGGTGTGTCAGCAAGGGATGGGGTCCTGTATGTCATGGTGTGTCAGCAAGGGATGAAGTTTATCAAAGAAAGTCAGCAGGTAATGACTTAGATCAAGGTAAGTCAACAGGTAATGAAGTGCTTCAAAAATAATGTACGGCTGTTTTGTTAGGTCATCATCTACTAGTCATTTACCTGTATTTACAAGTCGTTACAAGTTAGTGAATATTTTTTCTTGGGATTTCGTCATTGCATCTACATGGAAGAGGAGAGTTTGTAGTTCAGGTGTTATCAGTAAGCTTAGATCTATCAGTAAGCTTAGACCTGTTAATGCTGGTGTGAGAACATACAAGCGAGCGGTGGAATAAGATAAAAATAAAAGGCTTTGGGTTATATTCTTGCCATACACGAAAACAATATCAAAACATCTGATTGGTTGATCTTCATGACGTCACGGTGTTTTGTTGTTGCCACAGTATCAGCTGACCAAGCATTGTTGGAGGGGAGCTGTTATTGTTTTAAGCTGGGATTGGTTAAAGTAGGTTAAGATCTTCCTCTCAGTTCCCGCTTGCAACACCAAAACCAAAATTAAGCTATGAGACCGTATCATGTAAATCGATCAATCGGAAGACTTCAAACCCTTTCAAAAGGCTCCCCAGAAATCTCGTCCTTTCCATTTTTTTGTTTACTTAAAAAAAAAAACATAACTACCCCCAGTGATAAAAAGTAGTATATATAAACACTGTTATTATAATTAAAGTAGAGAGGTTAAAAAGCAACAGTTGTGATAGCCCAGTTAAGTGAAAAATACGTATCCCTAAGTACACATGTGAAATATTAATAAACTGAAGGAAATTACTATTCTGCAACAAAATACAAATAAACAGATGAAATAAACGCCAGAAGCCTTGTAGAACAGCGCTAAAGCAACCGATCAACAGCAGCAAAGTGATCGTTGGAAAATTAATGTTCAGTACCACCAGACTTCACCAGGAAGAAGGGAGGTAGTTTGTGTGTAAAAGATTCAAAATATCTTTTATTATACAAATTATTGTCTAGTGTATCAACTGACTTATAGAACCCTTATTGTTTAAAAGATGTTGTCCACGGATGAAACTGATTTAGCGAACCATTCATAAAAGACTTGACTGATGAAAAGTAGGATCCTGGTGGGTGTGGATGTGTTTATATTTAGATGGTAGGGAATATAAAGTAAATCCCAGCATGATTGGAGACTTCAGGAACTCCTAAGAACTTGAGTATGAGCTTGGACTTTCTTTACACTGGAGGAACACACGATTTATAACAGTGTAAGATAACATGAGAACTGTATACGATAATATTATAATGAAAGGTATGATGTCATTTACGAAGACAATGAAATAACAATGCAATAACGAAAGATAACAGATAGGACTATATGAAGATAATGGGGAGTATTTTTGCATGTTAATTAAAATTAAACCGGGGTTATAAAATCAGACCTGAGAATAAGAATTAGGATTAAACTCTTAAACCCGAGGCCTTACAAACCCGCGAAAGATCAGAAGCCAACGGGTCTTCAGTTCCCTATTGGTAATTTCTGATCAATTCTGAGGACGTAAATTCAAATCAATGCCGTTATGATTTTGTGAATACTGTAAACTAAAAATAACTGATTTATTTTAACTATTTACATTCACGTATATTAATTTCTCTCATAAGATTTACATGATTCACAGAGACTTAATATTTTGAACGTGAAAAAAAAAAAACTCGACGATTTTCGAATCCAGTGAAAATTCTCAGGTCCGGAAGGTTGAGTAATGGTAGAAAAGTAATATACAATCAGTAGAAGTAGATAATATAGTTCACCATATCAGGAGGCCAGAAATATAATGTACAACAGCTAGTCATGGAATATATACTTCTCTGTGAGGACATAGGAAATATACTCCAATAGAGACAGAAAAAATAGACTGAACTATATCCCATTATGGAAGTATAATGGGGAAGATTCTGAACCCAAATATACAATGAATAAAAATAGTGGATTTGAAGATACGAAAACCAGGTTAGACTTCAAGGATAGATAATTAATTGTAAAGTAAAAGACACCTGTTGACAATAGATAATTATATTAGCATATCAGTACCTGTCATGGTGGTTGTGATAATTAATCATTAATTACTATATATTTCCCTGATTATTGATATTAATCACTCCACTGTTGCGTTATTATTCTTATTAATTCATCCAGATATATTAATTTTAATTACTTAATAATTTTTCTTAATATAATTCATACAGTAATTAGTATTTTAATCTATAAATATAACTTGTATATTATTCCACAGTTATTAATATATATTGCGTAAAACTCTACGTTATTGTTTAAAAAAGTTAACCCTTTCCTTAATTACTATACAGGTATTATTTTATCATTAGGTACGTTTAGTAAATAAAAAGGTTTACTCTATCACTAATTAAATTATCGGTAAACATTAGTAAATCTAAATTACTGTTAATTATCAAAGTTCGTAAGGGTGAAAATTTTTACTGATTATCTGAATGCTACAGATTATCAAGACTTAAAATGGTTACTACTGAAATTTTTTTGTAATCTAAAAATTGGCGTAGAGGAGTGAGCGGGGGGAGGGGAGGGGAGTAGACGTGTGGGGGAGTAAAATGTGGGGGTAGTAGAGGTGTGGGTGTGGGGTAGTAGTAGATGTGGGTGTGGGGGTAGAGATGTGGGTGTGGGGGGTAGTAGAGAAGTAGGTGTGAGAAGTGGGTGGGGTGTGGTGTAGGAGATGTGGGTGTAGTGTGGGTGTGGGGTAGTAGAGGTATGGGTGTGGGGGTAGTAGAGGTGGGTGTGGGTGTAGTAGAGATGTGGGTGTAGTAGAGGTGTGGGTGTATGAGAGGTGTGGGTGTAGGGGTAGTAGAGGTATGGGTGTGGGTGTAGTAGAGGTGTGGGTGTAGTAGAGAAGTGGGTGTAGTAGAGATGTGGGTGTAGTAGAGGTGTGGGGGTAGTAAAAGAGTGGGTGTGGGGGTAGTAGAGTCGTGTGAGTGTGGTGAAGCAGAGATGTGAGCGTGAGAATGATGGGCGTGGGGGATAAGAAGCGTGGGAAGGACAGAGGCGATGGAAGTCATACCAAGATGCGCTTCTTCTCCTTGCAGGCGTACTCGCTCTCGTCCACGTCGTTGTAACAATCGCTCTTGTAGTCCTCGGGTAGCTGTCGGGACATGAAGGTGTTATAAGGCTGCGAGCCATAGGGGGTGGGGGGGGTAGGAAGGATATAAACGCGTTTGCTATATATCTATCTATCTATCCCCATCTATCTATAGATCTATTTATCTATATCTATATGCTTCTCCACTAACCAGTCAGTATAGTGACATTTCCAGTGTATGGGATTTGGTATTCTTTAAGTGAATCTAGATATAAAATATTGATATGAAATCAGTGCTCTAGTGAATTGATTGATAATGTAAGATTAGCTTTGTTCTCGTTTTTGAGAGTCTCCCTTTCAAGGCTCAGTTTCTCGGTTTTCCCGTCAGTTAGAATGTTTCAATGCATATTTCCTATCTTTCGAATCTCCTGTATTAAGCTTTTGAATCTATGAGAGGGAATTGAATGTTTTTGGGTGTATTCATTAACATAACTAATTTGTTCACCTAATAACAGGGACTTGTAGTTACATGTTGCCCCCTTTGTTCAGTTCCTAGCTATGTCTTACACCTAACTGTTTATATCTTGGTCAAAGCTTTCCTCTGTTTATCCCCGACAGTTATTCAGTTTCAGGGTAGGACTTCGAACCAACCATTCCGGGTTTTTTATAATGTATTTCCAAATTTCAATCACCTAATACCAATTTCTCAGTTCCCATGAGTCTTCCTTACACCTAACATCACTTTTTTTTCAATTCCTGGCCAGCTTCTGATGCCTTCAACCACTTACCCCTGTGCCATCGAACTCGCAGAGCTTGTCGAGAGGTCTGGAGCGGACGAACATCTTCTCGAAGGAGGTGGGCTTGTCGAGGGGGCAGTAGAAGACCTCGGGCGTCGCCTTGTCAAACACAATAGATTTCCTCATCATATCGCCAGCCAACGACGCCCCGACCTGCCAATAACCAAAACCGACTCAGTCTCGCAGAAGAATGAGGTATTCTTTTACTGTTCTCTTATGTAAGGTAAGTAACCCAAGGCTTATTAATTTCTGGTCACTTGACAGAAATTCGGTCCTAAATTGACAGTAGTGTTAAAAAGTTTAATTTTGGTCTCTCTGATATCTACAGCACCCTATTGAAGGCTTAGTGTAACCCACTCTAAAAAAATATCTTTGCGATTTTGTGAAAGTATGACACAACAGACAAAGGATTTTGACAACCCCACCGAGACAACGGGAGTCGCAGTGGTCATTTCAAAATCATCGGATCTCTCCTTAAAGATACTTTATGGAGTAAGTTACATGGTCTAACAAAACTCTCTATTTCCCCACTACCACCCCCCCCCCCTCGGCTCCCTGTGTTACTGCATCGTAACACAGTAAGTAGTGGAAAGTGACGCCCCAATTGCAGTTGACTTTCTCGACCCCGGAGCAGCGCCTCGGGCACCGTGATGGTCGTGAGAGTGGTGATAGTTATGGTTGTGTGCGTGGTAATGGTGGTAGCTATGGTCGTAGTGGTTGTAGATGAATCTGAGGTGGTCGTGATGGTCGTGTTTGTGGTGGTAGTTATTACTGCAGTCGTAAACGTAATCAAGATGGTGGTAGTTGTAGCGAAGAAGGTAAAGATGATAGTACTGGTGGTAGGGATGGCAGTGGTAGTCTGTTTCTTATAGTACCTGTTGTCACGGAAGTAATTACAACAGGTTACAAGATACCGTAACTTTGTCAGCATTAAAGAAATCACGATATGACTGTCATACACGAACCAGAAGGACAAGTGTGTGTGTGTGTGTGTGTGTGTGTGTGTGTGTGTGTGCCAGAAAACGAAGAAACCCAACTGCAGTGTGTATACATAAGCGAGGACACGTCTCTCCCTCATTACCTGCTGCAACAGTACGAAATTTTATAACGGGTTAATTTAACTTGGTCTTGATTATTACGAACCATTACGGAGTTCTTAGGAGATGTTACAATGTTAATATAAGTTGTTGGGAGGTTATGACACGCTGTTACATCATTATTATATATCATTATGTTGATGTTGGATATTACTGGTTTAATTAAGATGTAAACACAAATGTAGGTATGTTTTAGTTATTCTGTATTAGTCTTGAGAGAGTAATGGGTCATAAATATTTTCAAGAACACACACACACACACACACACACACACACACAGAACCAACAAGGAAGCAGGGGAGATAAATAGCAAGACCCGCATGAAGTCATCCTCACTGACTCAACAAGGACGTCACCACCACCAGGGGTGTGTTAGAATAGACAATGGAGATGTACCAAGCCAAGGAACCCCCTCCTTCCCTCCTTCCCTCTGGCCACGAGATGGAACCTAGAGAAGATGGAGTCACCTCTTTTGTGAGTAAATGGGGCTGAGGGTGAGTGAGAGCAGGGACGAAGACTTAAAATAATTACCACAGATTACGGGTGGAGAGATGTCGAGAAACTTAGTGTTTTATCGTTCACAGAGAAGAAAGAGAAGTAAAAATGTTGAAGTTTCCACTTCCCCACCCCTTCTTCCAAGGACGTAATGACGTAAGGAGTCATGAGAGTGGGTGGAGGGGGCGTGAGGAGAAGGGAGAGTGGTGGAGGGGCGTGAGGAGATAGAGAGTGGGTGAGGGGCGTGAGGAGATGGGAGAGTGGGTGGAGGGGTGAGGAGATGGGAGAATGGGTGGAGTGGGAGAGGGTGAAGGGACGTGAGAGAAGGGAGAGTGGGTGGAAGGGTCGAGGAGAAGGAGAGGGGTGGAAGGGTCGAGGAGAAGGGAGAGCGGGTGGCAGGGACTTGAGGATGAGGGAGAGCGGGTGGCAGGGACGTGAGGATGAGGGAGAGCGGGTGGCAGGCGTGTGGGTAGGAGGGAGGATGGAGAGAGGAGGGGTCAACACCGCTACTCGGGGAAGTGATGACCCGGTGAAGGAATGTTATGACTAATACGGTGGGGCTTTGGTGGGGTGGGCAGAGGTTGGGAGGCAGGAGGTGATCACTGAGGGCGGTGGACCACGAGAGAGAGAGAGAGAGAGAGAGAGAGAGAGAGACTGAAAATTACAAATAGCTGGGAAAGGAAGGACTTGAAATTACCAAAGGAGCATTCCACAGAAAGGTTCATAAGCAATAAATTATATGGAAGAGAAGGAAATTATAGCGGACATGAACCATATATAAACAATGGGTTAGTGATTGTACCTGGAGTGGTTCATAAAGACAGAATGGTAACTGTGCTACATATTATTTTTAAAGACTGATAACATAAGAATCCATTGTAACGTTCTCACTACCTCCTGCGTCACCACCACACACACACACACACACACACAAACCGCTGGTCTGTCTCTCGTTCCTGTGACTCAGTTTACGTGTGCCAGAGGGTGAGAAAGGGGTGTAAAAGGCCAGAGTGACTTGTATTGTCACCGCCACCTTGACCTTCCACTCACCAGCGCCAAGACAACAGCCAAACACAGCTTGTCTGAAAAGAGCAGAAAATGTCGAGGGTTAATACAGTTCCGGTAAAAATATTAATTGTTTTTTTTCATGAATAATAAAGCGTGATTCATTGGATTTTCGTGAGCTAAGTTTTATAGAGTTGCATCGAGAGTTTCCTAAACCAGTGAAATAGATAAAATGTTTGATGCTTCATAATAACAACGAAATATAATACATAGACATACATATATATAAATACAAACTAAACTCTTCCAACAGAAGGGATTATGTCTATATGGGTGAATAAATATAACCAAAAACCAAAGTCATATTCCCAGACTCAAGGTTTATGACTGCATATATAATAAGAGAATGACGTCCTTGATAGTGACAATAATGACTGATGGCAAGAGATGAGTGTCCCTCCGCCCATCTCCATCATTGTGTGTAAGTGTCTGGAACTGTCAGGGTCATTATCACCCTCAGGAGTCACCTTGGTGATGGCTACAATTTGACGAGGATCAACGTACAGTACACCCATTTTACCTGGATTACATTAATTTACCCAATTTTCGAATTACTGTAGTTTTTTGTGACTATTGCAAGTTCACAAAGAAAATATACATATATCGTCCCATATATGATTTACTAAAAATTAATTGATTATTAGCATCCTGTATAATGTATTTCACGAGGTCGGTAAAAGTATTTCTACAATTAAAATTCTTATAAAACCTTTCGCCTGGCATGAAGGAGTAAATAACTTTATCGCATATATTGCATATTTGTCTTTGATGCAAAAAAAAGTTGAATCGGTATTTTCTTAAATCAACACAACCAAAATAAGGCAAGAGTGTAAAGAACTATGCCTCGGGACGTCTAGTTAGGGCGGGTCTGTGGTCGACTGCTCACCACAACTCAATATTGCATTGGTAACTACCACACGGTGATCACTGTCGTTACCTGAGACCATTAACTGCTGCAATACAATAACAAAACTGACGGATCCTGTTCTGAGGAAGATGTTAAACTGTTCTTCTGATCAGTTAAGAGAAGCTGTTGTGGATTTCGGTGTTGGCGACGTGAGTGGAAACCTACGTGTGGTCTTGGCATTCTCTCCACGGCCTTGGGGGGGCCTGTCTACCAAGGTCGTGAGGCCCGGATAGCCTGGACAGTTTTGGGTGTGTGGGGGGGGGGTGTTTTAAACAGGTTAGGTTAGGTGTGGTTGAGTTTCGATGAGTCTCTGTTTTTGCAGCATTAGGGCCAAATCTCTTTAGTATAGTAATGTGTGTTTCTTTCCCTTTATGTGTGACCTTGTAATTATAACAATTAACTTCCCGTGATTGTGTGATGCTGTACAAAGAGAATAATTATTCAAACAATAGTCAAAAACCTGAAAATATCCTATTATGATTGTCCTAAATTGCTTAAGGACAAGAAATTGCTATAGCTTTCCTCGACACTCATGCGAGGAAAATTTTGGATTCAAAATATCAACACGTTTTTGTTTTTATTGCTGTATCACTGTCGCATATTTTAGTTTACGGTCAAGGCTGAAGATTTACCCGGGGTTTGTGGGCTGTGGCGGGAGAAACTGAGGAAGGCTGTCGATCGCAACCTTGCCCTGACGGTGCTTAATCTGATAAAATAAACTGACGTTCTTAATCATCACGTGAAATAAACTAGGGTGTCTAATCTACAGATGACTTAAGCTGGGATGTCTAATCATCAGGTGAAATAAACTGGAGTGTCTCTTCTTCAGGTGATCCCTCCCTACCACCAACTCCCATCCTCTCGGTAAAGATGAGGCGGGAGGAACAACACCAGATGGTAAACAACGTTGACGTGGAGGCCATCCTCAGTAACACATGACCACGTATCTATTTTCGGTAACACGTAACGCAAACATTTCAGCCCCGGACAACTCTTTTATCACAAATAACATTCAGTGTTTGTTATTATTAATCTTCATTTAAAACTGACATTGTTATATGCAATTTAGTACAGCTTAAAATATGGATCAAAGAAAAATTACCACGTTATCAAATTGTTTTCAGATACAATAATAAAAATATATTTCTCTCTCTCTCTCTCTCTCTCTCTCTCTCTCTCTCTCTCTCTAACGGGACTCCCACCTCTAACCAATATTGACTTGACGAGCATTTCAACAGGAGCAACGGACCTTTCAACACCGTGCAATGACATTATAAAATAACAGAAGGATGTCTGCTGAGAAAACCCACACATTCCCACAAGCAGTGTGAAGGAGGCAGGTGGTGGGCGGGCGAGGCTGTTTAGGTGGATGGAGGTGGTTTTTGTAGATAATAAGTGGATGAATTACAGGGTGTATCTAGAATGGGTGGTGGGTGAAGGGGTTGGTCCTGTGTGTTGGTGTGTGGATGTGCAGGTGATGGTAAGCTGGTACGTGGATAGATGGTAAACAGGTGGGATGTGGATATAGAGTGAGGATACAACAAACAGGTTGTGGCTAAAAAGGAGGTTGTATGTGGATGGTGTGTGGAAATCAAAGTATCTGGTATGTGGATGTCATTTGGATGATGGATGAACTGGCAGACGGGTGTTACTCTGGTGGTTTATGGGAGATGGGCAGACAATAATAATCCTCTGGGCTAAATCCACACCAGTTAACTTCCTTTTGGTCAAAATCCCATCATAAATATCCTAAACTGGAGAGAATTCCACCAACTCGAGTTATACCCTGTGCTAGGACTCCTGTGAAGGTCGGTTAAGTTTGGTTAAGCTAAGGATGAGATTAGGTTCCGTTTAACTCTGAGAATAGGCTTGATGAGATAAGGTTAGGTTATCTTATTTAAAGAGATGTTAAGGTAGGCTACGGGCTATAGGTAAGGCTATAGGCTAGGTTACCTTAGGTTTGAGTTGGTTAAGATTAGATTAACAACGGTTAGGTTAAGATTGAGTAGATTAGGTTAAACTATGCTAGGTTAACTCAGGCTAGAATTAATTAGTAGTAATTTGTCCCTTAAGCTACCTGGAGTCGTCGTGTGGGTGGCAGAGAGAGAGAGAGATGCGGGAGGGACGCTAGAGACTTAACAGTCAGTGAATTAATAATTATTTAGGGCGTTGTCGATGAAGGTGGGTTCTAAATCATCATGTGTGGGAGAGAGGGGGGGTAGGGAGGGAGGAGCTGCTTGCGAGACGGCTGATGAAAGAAGAGGAACGGACGAGCGTGTAAGGCGGACAGAGAGGAAGAGAGATGAGCATAGGTATAGGACGGGCGTGGGCGGGTCGGAGTAACAGACTACAATTATTATACATTAGTTAAGGTGTTTGCATATCCCCCGTAGCTCTCGGTATCCTCCTAGTGTGTGTGTGTGTGTGTGATGACAAAACCTGCAGAGACCATTTGTCAGATCGAAAGAATACACCAGGACTGGTTTGATGAAAATGACCCGGAAATCAATGTACTCGTCGTGCTGCTTTAACTGACTGGCAGTCTCGAATCAAAGCTGATACCTTCCGCAAGAAGAAAGCGGCAGCCCAGCGCGAATAGAAAAGTCTTGAATAAAGTAAACATAAACATCATATCCGCTGTGTGGATAAATTTTTAATAATGTCTCTAACATTATTAATATTTTACCTAAACTTAAGAACATCAGACTACCTACCTGTGTATACCATCATTTACGGCAGCAGGTAACTCGTGTTGAAGTAACCGGGTGTATCTGCTATTGTTACGCTAAATTGATCCCTCTAACATCTTAGCCTTACTGGATATACAGGTGTGTTATCTCATTGGCTAACCTCGGCAACGGTAAACATAATGCAGGTGGTGAGGATGGCTCTCTCTCTCTCCGCACTGTACATGACGTCTAAAACTGGACTTGAAATTGCCCTAAAAATTGAGAGAAGTTTGAGGTGTTCTCTTACTCTCAATTTAGAAAATAAGAAAAGGATTACGTTGATGGGATTACCTGTCTGAAGATTAAGCACCCCAGCTTTTTTTTTCCACCTGATGGTTAACCACCATAACGCTAACCTTACTTAACCTCCTCTAACCTAACCTAACCTAACAATCTTATTCAATCTAATATAATCTACAATCGAACCTAATATAACATAATATAACCAAACCTAACCTGTTACCTAACCCTCGCAGGTAGCTTTAGAGTAGTTTATCTTTAGGTGAAACAAAAATGGGGTGCCCTAATCCTCAGGTAACCCGAAAATAATAATGACACTGACGTAACAACCTGCCAATCTTCTGTGAGAATTAGGAACAAAACACCAGGAAATACCTCACCGGAGCACAAACAATGATGTGAAGCGATTCATTTCCTAGACGTTGTTTATCTGTGAGATGCTAGACGGGCCGACATACACATTCCCACCACCCGCCTTCCGCCCGGCCCCCGCCAACTACCGCCCTGCCTCACTCCACTCGACCACTACCTCCCCCACCACCACTACCGTTCTCTCTATTGTGTTACCTCCTCCAGTTACCTGAGGCTGTTACGATGCGTGAACTACCTCCACCCCCCCCCCGTTCACCTCTTGTGTTTGTAGCTGTTACAGTGTATGAACTCACTTCCCTTCTTCCTCCCCACATCATCGTCAGTGTTTATGGGTCTCATAATGTCTTTCTTTACTTCGTGTGGTGCAGTGTGTAAACTTTTCTTCCTCTCCATAGTAGACGTGAGTGTAACTGTGTGTATAACCCCCTCTTCCCCACCCTTCAGTCACTAGCTGTTATATAGACACGTGCGTAAACATCTATACACACACACACACACACACCGCCGTAACGAAACAAGCAGCAGAAATATAAACGTACGTACAGTGCACGTCCACATACGTGCATGCACAAATGAATGAATAAGCAAATCTTATATTTATACTGTATATCAATGTTGTGTTGATTTTTCATACTTATCAAAAATATAGAATATTTAGATAATAACAAAGGCTTGATATAATTTACAATATAATGCTTTAAAGAATCGATCTATGATATTCGTAGCAAAAATCTAAAGTTTTTCCCACAGACTGGAACCAACGAACCAA